CCAAATCCTCTGGATTCTTTTTGTCAATGCAACGTATACCTCTCATCTCACTTCTCACAGTCTCCACATGACCTCGTCCACCACAATAGGGAATACCATATGTGACAGTAGGTAGCCTTGTCTGACCACTATCTTCCCTTTAGATGGCTTCAGCGATAGACAAGCCTATTTTATATAATCTGCCTTATCTAACTACACAACGTTTTATTTGTTTCTTAATCCTATTTATATCAAAAAACCTTTTAAAATATATACGGTTTGTGAACAACTTCATATATGTATTACAGTTCGATATTTAAAAGTGATCAACACTACCGTATTTTTTAAATACCAACCATGAATAAACTTATCCCATTAACTGTTAGATATTAAGATTAAACGGGACTTATGCGGTGAAGTTCGTAATTAGTAGTTACATAATCACGTTGCATGTCAAAATCAAACACCGAATATCAGTGTCCCTATTAAAGTCTATAAGAATTATAGATTTCGGCAGGTAGGGTCATAAAGGTTGAAAAGACGATAAATCGAATACTATCTCTATCATTACTGTTTTATCGTTATCAATATTACTATGACTTTACACTTGATGTTGAAAAACTTATATGAATATCAGGGTAATAAAGATATATATCAGAATTTATGGGATTGATGATTTCATCTAGTTTGAACTTAATATTCACCTTAAATTAGAAGAAAAGGTTGTTCAGATATCATCTATACCGTAACCACATGAACAAGCATCACTATTTTATGGTGCTAGTTAAAAACGTTTCTTGTAAGCCCAATAAAGACGTAAGTAATGCTCCATAGACTTAGTATACGGTTTCACTTCTTCCTAGTTTCGAATTGAAGGAATTATAAAAATTTGAATTATTGTTTTATAGTCATTCGACTGATTTCAATTAAGATTTTGACATGCTTTAGGCTAATTTCTTTTGAGAGTCATGGTCATTATTTATAACATAGTCTAACTTCTAAACTCCATTATTTTTTACTTAATTTGCTGCATCAAAATATCCAGTCTCAGCTGGGATATCTGTGTCTACTACGAATGTTTCACTGAGTGCCTGACAAGTATGGCCAGATAAGACAAAGCGCATCTTTTAAATTCCACAAATTTTAATTGCCTTCAAAATACTCAGAAGGGTATATAAAAAACATTCTGGAAACATATTAGTCTAGAAATTAGGTTTCTCGACAAAGTACAAACTTTGTAATTTTGGTGTATTTAGTATAAAACGACTTGTTTGAATTAGAAATATTTTATTTTGCTTCAAACCCTACAGTTAATAAACTAACTTTGGGATTAAGCATGGTTCCACAAGCTTCAAGTGCTACAAGAACATTTGTCAGTAAGTATTTGAAATTTCAGCAATAAATATTCTCTTATCTCATCGACATCATCAGGATGCTTGACTTAAAGTATCGATTTTCATAAACCAGGAAATGTGGGACTGAAAACTGGGTACTGTGGACCAGTACTAAGCATTGACTTCTGAATGTAATTCCTTGGTAGAAGAAACGAACCCTGACACTGTGACAAAGTATAATTCTACCATAGAGTAAATTTATTCGAAAAAAGCACACAATGATACAGCAGAATTTATATACTGATGACTTTTCGAGCCTAATTTATTGAGCATAAGCACATCATCGCACTTGCATAATTTCCAAACTCCTGTAATATAATTCCATTATATTAAATCCTCTGAATTTTTTTGTGGTTATATTTTCCATTTCTCTGAAATCGGCACCACCTCACTACCGTTGCACGTGTTAGGTGTAGATTGCATGAACAAAAAGTTCATTGATCAACGTATACCCCTAGTTAACTACATTACATTTCAGAATTGTCCTATCAGATCGTATGACTGTGTCTTAGTGCATGTACTGGGACTGCTCAGTTTTCCTCTGAGGCATTTATCTTTCGAGGGTTAATCATTCTATATTCAGCTAAGCTCTTATATTCTGATTATAATGATCATAATTCTTATAGGTAAAATAATAAGCTGATTCTGGACGATTAGTTTCGTATCTGACCACCATGAGAGAACTTGAAAATTTCTATTCAACTAATTAACTTTTGTCTATACAACTGTGTTATGCATATATACATACTCATTATGAATTAATAATTCAATCTCACCATTTAAAACAAGAATGGAAACTAAGTGAAATGCATTTCTACATTTGACCTTGTAAGTTAACAATAATTGAACATTGAAAACTTTTTCATTATGAACTATATTTTGGATAGTTTAAATCAACGTTAAAAGGTGTCATTTTTGTAAAGTTTAATTTCATTGCAAGCACCTGTATTCTCCTGATAACATCTGTTGTTCCCTTTTAAATATGGTGCTGGTAAATAAAATCTTGTAAAAATTTGTAAACACACCTGTTTTTTTTATTGAAATTTGTTTGTAAATTATGCATATTTACACTGTAGAGAAAGAGTCAGATTATTACATTGTTTTAGGCGTTTCTTGAAAGTATTGAGACCTCGTAGCAAAAAGACCAGAGGTATATTCATGCATATTTGATATGGGAATCGCCATTTACCATTCCAAATATTTCTGCAATGCTAGCAGCACTGACTGCATATAATTAAGCATCGCCACTGTCTGGTTCTTTAACATCACTGTTCGTGGTTTAACAGCACAGATGGAGACAGACATTCTTTCAAAATATATCGTTTTACAAATCCATTCAAAGCTATCCAAAGCACTACACCTTGGTTAGTTTCCCTTCGCATGTTATCCTCTTACATAATAATTAAATAATAATTTTTCCTTCACGTTCCCCAGTGGAACATAGGGCTTCAAGCTAGTGGCTTGAAGTTTCTGTAGCAGTGTTTATTTTATAGGATGGGATTGCTAGCCTCATGCCCAACCTTACCTCTTTACCAGCATTGTTTCTGGCTAAGCGAGGTAAACGAGTGCATCGGCCGGGGATCGAACCCCGGACCATGTGCATGGTCGGCGAGTGTCCTAACCACTGTGCCACCGACGCTATCCTCTTACATACGGTGGAAGCAATTGAAATCCACCCGTTGTGCAAGCCTAAGTTATATGTTCTAACAAACATTCCACTGGCCCCTTTCCTTTTCTTTCATCTCCGTGAAATTCATGCACTCTTCGGTAGTCAATATTTACCTTCCTACTATCGAAGTAGAAATGTTGTAGGAACTTACATAAACTTATACTATTTCCGATGATTCATGTACATGCTGTAATGTAACTGAGTAACCGATATGATTATGAGGAACACATTGTGTTCTAGACAGTCATGCAGTCAATTTTACCGTTTCCCTGTATGATATATCAGATATAAAAAAAATTATGGGACAGCACACTAGCACAATGTCTAAATTCTACACATTCATTAATCTATCTAATCTCTTATGGACTCGGCATAAAAGTTTATATAGGAATAAATCAAAGTTAAAAGGGATGGTGAAAATGAAAATACGCTTTTTTAGGGGATTGAATGAAATGAAATCCTTTAGAAGAAATACACTATTTCAATTCTACGATCTTATCACATACACGTTAATATTTTGTTTTTAATTAAAATTCCTTGATTATTCGAAATCACTAAGAAATGTGAACTACGAAAATTCACTACGAAATATCACTATAAAGTTAGTCGTAGACAGTTTTGAAGCATCGGTAACGATGTAGCTGAAAAGTATGTGTATCCGTGGAAGTATTCAGCATTCCGATTGTGTAAAAATTTCAGTTACATTTCACACAGATTTCGTTATGAACTGTTGTCAGCTAAACGATCATTGAAAGCCAAGAAGCACTGCACAGTTGTTTATTATATCTAAAAATGCATCACAAGTGAACCCTTACAACCCAGGACTGACAGGTTACCATTCAGCTATTATGATGAAATAAAATGGCTATTGAATTCTAACCCGTCCAAACATCCAATACCTCGACATTACCAACCACCCTCAATGAAGAGCATTTTTCTCAGTGATAACTACAAATGGATGTCCTGAAATTCTAATGAGATTTCGTAAGTGGTGAAGTTCACCAAATCTGGTGTAAAGTAACTGCTCATCGACGCTAATGGTTGGTTTTCACGAATACAACGAAGTTAGAACTCGTGAGTCACTAAATTCCTACAAACTGGCTAAACGGTATACCGGTTAGTTTTCAATCCAACTGCTGCTTAAATCGTGGTAGCACATAAATTAGCATAAAACAGCTTTCTGGTAACCCTAGATTTTTAGTTGTTCTTTTGCTTTTCGATGAAATCTACCTTTAAGCACATGTGTCAATAGTAACCAGCGGTAGAGTAATGCTTGGTAGTTTTTATCATTAAATCGTTAAATACGTACAAATATAGACCAACTCTGATGGAGTCATATTAACACAAAGGGAAAATGGCACGAATTCACCAGTATTGTGGTTGTCTAAGTTGGGTGATACAAGTACACCGAACATTTAGTTCAAGACTATACAGTGAATAATTATTTCTCAATATCATTGTGTTTTAGTTCCTCTTAATCGCAAAGCCTGGGTCATTATTTAAACAAGAAACTTTCCAAATCCTTGCACATAACAGTGAACGGCTCTGCCTGATGCTCAGTAAAACGAAATATAAAAGAATAAAACTCTTAATAGTGTTCACATAACTATCTCAAGAAATTAGGGATGTATTAAGGATAAGTAATAACTACAAGTGTAATTCAGAACCCCCCTCTTCTCAGCTGGATTCAAAGTGTCCCAGCATGCAATGAAGTACTTACTGAGACTGGAAACTAGCACCATCACTTCAAATATAGAAAGATTATCACTAGGCGAACGAGCTTTCACAGCTATCACGTGTGATTCGGACTTAAGTCGCTACTTAATGATTTTAACTTCCATAAAGTATGTTACAGTCTCAACAGGAATATCATCATTCACTGAGATATGAGGAAAGTTCAACTGACAAATCTTAAATAAAACAAAGTACAAGTTAATATATAAGCTATAGTAACTTACGTGTACATAATTTCTAGTGATTGGGATATATTTTTTCTTGAATTCTTAAATAATCATCAAAAGATACTGTAGCTGACTGAAAATCTGCCATTTCGGAAGTATTTAAATTCGTTGACTTATATGCTATGCATTGGATAAGTGCATATGAAATTTCAGCATTTCTACCAATATCTAAGTCATGAGCAGTAATCTTTCCAATTGATAAAGCTAAATAGATACGTTGTATAAAGGAATAAGGAGGTAGATTATTGCATAAATTAATTTGTTTTAATAACAGAAAAAAGATATTTATAGTAAGTTCCCGAAGTGTTGGTTTGTAGGGGTTTATTTGGTGTCAGGATTGATCGCACACTGAATTCAGTTGGAGAATCACAAGAAATCTGATTGTGTTGTACTGATGATTCGTCTTCGTCTGGAACCCATCATCAGTACGCACCCATAACACCACTAAGCATCAAACGCAGAACCGTCAGGTCACAACGTCTGCTCATAAGGCATACAACCACTGGGATGGAATCCGATAGCGAATCAATTCTGATGTCTGCCAGTTCTCTAAATGTAATCATTTTTGATCACACCTGAAGAATTTGAATGTATGCAGTAGTAACTTTCAGAACGGAATATTAAACTCACTTGCAGATAGCGGTTGTGCAAATTTCAATCCAGACTTTGATAAACTCTTAACTTCTATTCGTTCTGTTTAGGCTCAGCAAAACAGCAATAGTAAATATAACATGATAATATGAGTTCACAGTTTTTTATCACTTTACGGATTCTCCTCAACTGTTTGCAACCTTCTTACAGGCTCCCCAAATCAACAGGGTATCTCATTTATTCATTCATCAAAATGAATCATAATTAATCAGTTTCGTTTCATTTTAGCAGTCCAATTATTTTCTTTTATCATAATCTACCATCAGGAGTATGAGTTTACTTCAGATAGAAAAATATTGCTTCACATGACAAACCTTTCTCACTTGGAAATTTTGTACATATATATATATATATATATATACATATAACAAGGAGAGATTCAAACGTACTTTTATCACGTATATTAGCAGTTGTCGATAAGAGTCATATATAACAGAAGCGAGAAATGATGGGCCTAGTTAAACTCTCTACTTATATTACCTACCAGTGCTATTATTAACACTTTGGGAAATCAGTAAAACAAGCAGTGATTGCTATCAGGCACACCTTAAGTAAGCGTGGTTGCAAAAGGGCTGAAAAAGTGAAGATCCTTAGCTAGTATTTAAATCGCTTTCACGTAGATAGCACTATTGAGTGGTCTGGCAGTTAGGATTTCTGACATTCACCTGGGTTCCAACCAAGTAGGAGATGCAAGTTCAATTTCTTTTTGATGCACTTTGAAATCTGGTTTTGTTTACAAGTCAGTAAGTTCAGTAAAACCGTGAGGTTGAGCTTAAGACTAAAATCTCACCCAGTAACAAAAAACAACACCATCGCTACCGAAACTTTAAAGCATGAAGTCCTACATTCCACTTAGAATGCAAAGAATTAAGCAAGTTAAGTATCTTTTCTTTACAAATTTACTTATCCTTTGTTCTTCTACAATATCTCTTGATGGTTATTCAAACTGTTAGAATCAAAATGGAATCACTATAAAAGAAAAAAATACAACAAAAACTTACAGAAACTTACATGCTGTATGATTCTCTAATACATAGAACTCTATTTTATCCAATATACTTGGTGGATTATCATTTACATCTTGAATTGTAATTGTAACATCAGCAGTAGCATTCAAACTAGGCAAACCACTATCTGCAGCATGAACATGGAAGCGTAGCTCGTGCAACATTTCTCTGTCTAATGCCTTTTGTGTACTTAAATGACCAGTGATTTTATTCACTTCAATAAAATCAGCGTTTTGTCCACTTAACCAATAGGTGAGTTTAGCATTATCCCTTAGATGAAAAAAAGGAAAATAAATAAAGCAAACGAAAAAATGAAATGTCTTCAAAGAAACGGTAGGTTCAAAAGAGGACCAAATATATAAGTGTTAGTATAGCGTAATGAATAATGAAGACGCCAATAAAGGTGTAGTGAAAACTCTGGGTCACATTAGGCCTCTGGATTGCTATTTTGTTTCTTATCAGCTTAGCTACGAGAGTAATTGAATCTTGTAGCTCAGCAGGTACAAAATTAACGCAACAATTCTAGATCCACTGGTTTGAGTCCTTTTGTGGTAGAGTCTTTCATTTAGCTTTTGTTAATCATCCATTACATCGACCGGTGTTTGCTTGGCCAAGGCTATCGAGGATGGTCTCACCATCAGTGAACACATAAAATTATTTGTCATTTTTCAGAATGGATAAAAAAGGAAACACTTACAAATGCGACCGGGAGGATCCAAGGTTTTTCAGTCACCACCATTAGCATTTGGATCACAGTGCTTAAGATGTTAAAGAATAGATGACAGTTAATGTTCGGTAAACGACTGTTTTGATTATATTTCTAGGTGGTTAACAAGCGAATTCTCATGGAATGTAAACATATTTTAGGGTTTTTAGGAAAAATTCATCTTATGTAGAGAAAAATGCCCTGAGAGAGTAAGAATTTTCCATCTTGAATTGCAAAATAGATGTCATTAATTTTCTTGAATCAGGCGTCAGAACCTTAGTTGTATGTTTTTCAGTAGTAGTCCCCTTTAGCTGGATCTAAGACTGTCCCTTGAGCTTTTGTCACCTCTTTAGAATACCTTCTACTTGTTATCTTTGAACTCATGCCCAAATCGATGTCTTCTATTCAAGTTCCACACTAAGGAATGGTGGGAGAATGACTGGGCTCCTCAGCGTTTTTTAGGCTTGGATTGGTGAACGTCTTTTGTTGTAACAGGTTTTAATCGAAGCGTGTCCTATCCAGCCTCATTCCGTTCTACATATTTGTCGGATGATGAGTTCTTGGTTAGTTCGGTGGTAGAGTTCCTTGTTGTTAGTCCTTTCTTGCCATCTTACCTTAAGTATTAGACCAGCGAGGGAAACTGCTGATGAAAATGCGCGTTCGCTTGTTGGAAATCATTTTCGTGACGAGCCCACGCTCTCTACCATAAAGGAGAACTGACTTGACATGGATGTGGAAGATAAACATCTTGTTTGATTAAGCTGAGTGCAATAGATTTCCACACTAATATTTCTATTCCACTCCTGCCTTTAACATCCACATTTGTACCACTTCTAGCTGGAACGCTACAAAAACTTCAAAGCACAACTGTTAAAAAAGTTACTGATATTAGTGGTTAGCAATAGAAAACAAAACTAAAAATTCCAGTTAATTACCTTCATCTGGATCTGTTGCATTGACTCTGTTTATTACAGTTCCAATTTCACTATTTTCATTTACATTAAAATAATAGTGCATTTGACTAAAAACTGGTACTTCATCATTAACATCAGTTATTCTAACAATAACAGATCCAGTACTACTTCTTACTGGTGTACCATAATCTGAACAGGTTATCCAAACAGTGATTTTTGAAATGAATTCTCTATCAAAACTTGAAGCTGTTGTTAGCTTGTACCTAATAATACAAAAAATGAATTCGTATATAATTCAGAAGTTCGTTTAGCAAAGGTTTAAATATGATTACAAGATGGTTTTTGTCACAAGTTGGCATTGAAAGGCAACTAGTGAGAATCATGGAGCCGTAAACCTAGACCTCATACTATTTTGAGACTCTCCAATAATGCGCACTCAGAAACCCTCTACATACAGAGCAAAATATTTTCAGGTTATCAAACCAGTAGGTTGATCACCACGTATGTGAACTCTTCAGTCCCTTAAACGGCAATACAAATACCCTGCACAATGCATTCAATCTGCTGACAATTTTGACTAAAAATCCGCAAATCCTACCTCATGAGCATTCGATCATTATTCCTCAGTGTTTCAATTTTGGAGCTTCGGCCAACTTCAGAACTCCTTCATTTTCAGCGGTTTTACAAATAATGTACTTCTTGACTAAATTCATTTGAAAATTTGTATGTTTCAAATTTAGAAGTTTTCAGTTTGACAACTAATGTAATCACTTCACGTGGGCTTTGCTGAAGAGTTATCTTTGAAGCCATACATTTTTAGTGTTATTTTATAGACATCTGACTGATTTCTAGGTAGATTTTACTAATGATTGATGTAAGATAACTTCAGTTCAAAACCAAGGATTACTGAATAACCTTTACCACGCATGACCCATTCAGGCGTCTGACGCAGGACTTCCAGATCACAGCTGGAGCGTGTTATCATCCAATCACTAGGATGGTATCGAATGACCCATGAACTATAGATCCCATAAATTCGAAATAATATAGTATCACCTCCAGCTAACGATACAGGAGATTATCTGTCCTCCATTAGAAAACTACATAACATTCACTCGAGTTACACCATAAAGGCCTACGGAAGAAATGTGGCATATACAGACAAAGAAGATTAGCAACATTTAACACAGACAAGTAAATGTTCTAGATAAAGGCATGATAGATCATATGCTAGGACTAGTTACGTTTTTCAGACTACATAAACTAAAGATAAAATCTGACATTCACACAAAACTGACACTACTACTATCTAATCAACTTAGCATAGGCTCATGAAACTACAGATGCTACGCATGTGGAGCTTGTTTAAACCAGAAGAGTTGTAGACCGAAAATATCACCTAATGAGAAATGTGGATATTTAAAATATAGGAGAATTTGTTAGTGATCGCGACAGCAGTAATTTACCTGAGAATCTTCATATCTTCACATGTATCTACACTTTCAGAACGCTAGAAAACAAAAGGTGAACACATCACCCTCATATTAGACGTCTATAAAGAATAATAAGTCTCTTATGGAAAGCATGAACAACTGTGCAGAGCGAATTTCACCAGAGTCACCCTTCACATTCTCAGGTAATAGATAAACCCGAATAAGTCGGATGAGATTAAGATAAAGTGCTCAAAGTTACCAGAGCTAGAAAGCCTTTGCAATTAATGATAATAATCACTGTAAAATAGTTTGTTGGACGAGATAGAGATAAAACTTAGATGCAGCTCAACATTTTTTTGACTGCAGAACAAAAGCTTTTGTCGGTGATAATTATAAACTTCTCACAGAAAAAATTACACATATGAAACAGCCAAAATGCCGATATGGTATTTGGCACTACATAAGACATGATATCAGATGGAAATATCACAGAAAATGTACTCGTGTAGTTGCAATCCAAAAATTATTTTTTTTTGCTGTCAAAACCAATAAATATCAGAAATAGAAAATTGTAAATGAGTTTTCACTTGTGAACTTTATTAACTGTTAAATAACTCGTCTTTTGAGTACGAAACTGGTTTAAAAGATAAACTAAATACCAGAAGCTGAGTATCTGAATACGTAGAAATTTCTTTCAACCCTCTTAAACTCAGTATTTAGGTGAAACATAATGTTCGCAGAAGAAAATAGCGATGGGTTGGACGTAGACTGAGGAGGCCAATGAGTGACAATTGGTGACAGGCAAGAGCTCATGGTAAACTCACATGGAAAGCTACGGGTAACATGTGATATAAGTCTGAGGGTAACGTGAAGGAGATCATGTGACGAGGAAGTGAGAGTTTGTTGGTAGTTTTGATGCCACCTGAAGGTTAAAGCAAAGAATCGACTTCGGTTGCATTCTCCCACCAGGAAAACAAGCAATAAATAATACTCAAACAAAATGTCCTGATACTTATCTCACCTTATTTTTAAACTACTTAAGAACCATTAAACAACCACTCAGCTCTCTGGCATTACTTTCACATGGCTCTAACACTGATCATAGGTTTTCCTTTTAATCCTACTTGATATTCTCCATGTTGCCATTGGTTCCACACCTGACTTATTGCTTCCATCCGGATCCCGATCGAGAGCCTGCCTGTTATGTGATGTTACTAAAATGTTCCACCAGAGTACATCCATTCCATTTCCATTTTCTTCAGTATATGGGCTTGTTCGTTCACTGACAGAATTCCTTCTTGCTTATCTTTCCATACTGGTCACGTGATCTGTACTGTCTTCGATACTTCAATCTTGAATATTTCATCGACGAAATGGGAAACAGCTCGCAGAACAAAATCCTATAATTATTTATTTATTTATCGCCGAAATTTATACAAGCACAATTTTTATAAATGCCTGTTGAAGTATATGGTTATGACAACCTCCTTGGAGGGAAATATAACAAGGCTAGAATTAAGTGACAGTCCATCAGTGAACTCATCAGGTAAAAAATTTTTCATAAGACAATTATACAGTATAAAAATAAAGGATGCAGAGAGGGATGCTTTTTTTACTTACATAATGAAAAAGGCATATGCATTTGTTGTAAGCTGAACAGAGTTTCAGTTGGATTCAGTAAAAGGTTTTCTAATTTTTCTTTATTCTGTGTATCGAAATGCCATTTTCTCGATTCAGTTAGTCGACAACTCACTCGTCCATTATCTCCGCTATCTTTATCCTGTGCTGTAAAAACGGCAACCAGTCGGCCAGGTTTTTCATTCTCTGGTACTAGTGCATAATTTGTTAAATGCGCTGGTTCAAAGTGTAATTCAGGTGAATGATCATTTTCATCCAACACAGTAATTTCAACAATACATGTGGTGCTTCTAGGTAAAGTTCCTCCGTCACTGGCTTCAACAGTCAGTATTATCTGAAAATGTGAAATAAATTTTAAAAAAAATTAAATCCACGTGTTATGTAAATCAGACTTTAATATATTGCCCCAAATGTGATACCGTTCAAGCTGTGACTCCCCTGTTCTTTCACACAAACAAACATCCTTTCACCACGTGTTCAAACTTAAATGAATGAGTTGCACAACTATGATGTTACAGCTGAATCTGAAGGTGAAAAAATCATAGACATTTTTGTATGGGCAAAAAAATTACTCAGGCTTCTAACCACTATATTATGGAACAAAATTTCTACCGTTCGTTCAATGAACATTTTAGAGATAATTATATGAAGGAGTTTTATCAGATTTCAAATGAGTTGACTGAACATCAGATGACCAGAGAGCATTAGTAACAAGGAACTCTGCTAACGAACCAACCGGAAACCTGTCAACAAACAAATATGAAAAGGAAATCAGATATGGATCGGAATCATCCTTACAAGACCGTTCAGTAACGCCACACACTAGAAAGGCTGTCAAGTAAAATCTGGATGGGTAAAGACAAGGAAGGGATTTCGAGGGTTGACATGGAGTGAGATCATCTGAAGAGGACACGAGAGTTTATGGACAACCATGAAGCCAGCTAGAGGAAAATAGAAGAAGACAGACTGAAATGGAGAAGTGCTGTTGAAGCCATATGTTTCACTAGGAATTCAAGGGAATAATGACATGGTAGTAATTGCCATAATAAAGACACGGATGTAAATAAACTGAGTGAAAAGTTATTTTCAGCCTATATAAATGCCAACGAAGACAAATACTCTTCTGAATTACGATTTCAGCGCTCTATCGAATGACTGAATAGACCAGACTGTTAACCAAGTCATAATTTTACTGCGACCACCAGGGATAATTCTGTGACCAACAGTTCTAATACATTCGCAACTCAGATTTCACTTTCAGTTTACCCTCATTAAATTAGTATCAAACGAGTGACATTAATAAGGATATTGTTATTTTATTATTATTCCCGTGGGTTCCGGTTGAAACATAGGGCTTCAACAACACATCTCCACTTTCTTCTGTTCTCTGCTGTCCTCTTCAGTTAGCTCTACGATTGCCCATAATCTCTCATCTCCTACTCTCACGCATTCCTCCATGTCACTCCCGGACGACCCACTGGTCGCTTCTCACTGAGGTTCCACTCGACAAATGGCCTGGCATGCGATATTATTCAACGGCCTCCTCAGCATATGACCGATTCATCCCCACTTTCTCCTATATATTTGTTGAGCAATCGGCTGTTGGTCGGTTTGGGGCCAGAGTTTCTTGTCGCTAATTCTTTCTGGCCTGCCATTCGATCTTCATTATGTGTCGAAGGCACCTTGTCTAGTTTACTAACTCGCTATTGTTCTAGCCAGTCGCAAGTCCGGGTAGAGAGGGAGGGTTGGGCGTGGGGCTGGCGACCCTACCTCACAAAACCAGTCAAACTGCTACAGGAAATTCAACGCACAATAAAAATACTAAAAATACAAAAATATATTAAGGGTGCATCTTAGATATAATTACAATAACTTTTTATTTAATTTTGTCTGATTAATAATAAATACAATGAAAATAATATCTTAGTAATATGTTACACACAATCTCCCAAGTAGTAAAGCTTCTCCTGTGATCTGTTCATCTTCCATTAACTAGATATGATAGAGGAGATTTGTAGCTCAGGTGGATGATTTTGATGTGGTTTTGTTCTCTGAGCTGGATGTTTAGTTTGCGAAGTTTTCATCACCTTACTGGGTGACATCTTCAATGCGCTGAAGATGTCACCCAGTAAGGTGATGAAAGCTTCGCAAACTAAACATCCAGCTCAGAGAACAAAACCACATCAAAATCCATTAACTAGGACTAGCAAGATCTTATGTCACATTTGATAATATAAATCAATACTCCAGGATAAATGATGATTGTATATGCATACATGCATATCTATATATAAAATTTAATGTTTCGCTTTTCATACATGGTTTGAAATTCAGTCATTTTAATGTGGAGCTGAAAAATTATAGTCTAGATTGTAGGTAGCTCTGAAAGTATTTACCAGTGCTTTTGATGTCAACCTAAAGGTGGCTTTATTTGAAGTCGTTTTAGAATGAAAGAAATTCAGTAAGGTGTTCACAAGCCATGACGGTGGATCTTCCCTTCATAGAATCCTAGTGAACTAAATAAAATAATAGGAGAACTAATTAAACACCAGCATACTTCATTGTAGAAACAGAACTTTGCCGTATGCTTTTTACATTCCCTTGCGTTCTGAGTGGAGCACAGGACTTCTGGCTTTTAAGTTTCCGTAGTGTCAGCGTTTTCTTACTGGGTGGGGGTGGGGTTCCTTCTTACACTCACCCTTCCCTCTTTACCGAGCTTAGTACTGTCTGTACTAGGTTTACGGGTGCGTCTTTGGATAGTCGAACCGTGACCACGTGTGTGGTTGAACGACGAACACAGTTCTTTTTTATGTAGCCATGAACAATAAGTATGAAATTCAAGTTATTTCTCTGAAATTGTGACCTCCTGTTGATATACGCAGGCCAAATTTATCCACCTAATTTTAGCAAATTGATTGCTGTTACGATGAATGACAACTGGAGGCTACTTGTTCGTTGATGACTAACGGTGAAACTTAGGACGTTTATTTAATCCCACTCGGGAGTTGTCAGATGAATATACCTGCTTCCAATGGAGAGTCGAACTCATCAGACACTATTGTCGAAGCCAAAGCGTTGTCCTCTTCATTATTGTTTCTCACAAAAAAACTGCATACTTTGATATCTGAGGAATTATTTGGTAGTCAGTCAGGAATCCAGATAATATCATGACCACTAGTAAGTTGTATAGAGCTTTGTAAAATGCAATCAATATATTTATATATATAGTGTAGTGTTGAAATAAACATTTTTACGTGTGAGATATGATTAATTTTCAACTCTTGCAAACAAAATAGCATTTATTATCTCTCACATCGAATATCCGAAGTAAACAAATATCTAAGCATAAAATGTATCATACAACTATCTACGAATCGATTGATAATAAATGAGACTTTATAATATGACTATTTATTATCAAATAATCTAATCTTTAGGCGATAAAAGCTGGCCATCCTAACAGTAGTAATACTCCACAGTAAAGTTGGTAAAACTCGAATGTATGAATTTGTGAATACTAAAAACACAAGTTTAATATTTTCATGGTATTTCTGAGAATAAGAGTAATGATAAAAGTCGTGATACCAAGCGCTTGGAGGGAACTGACAGGATCTAGACCTGAACCTAGGATTTCGGTAAGTTGTATCAACAACTTCAAAAAGAACTGATGCCGACTCAGATATTCGAACCCATGCCCCAACTGCTTTAGGTTCGTCTAACTTATAAGATTCGGTGTTTTAAGCAATTAATTTGCTTCATTCAAGTTTACAATGTAAAAACAAACAAAATTAACATTATGGACCTTATTAAAAAGGTTCTGTCAGACCTTCATCTCACCTAGATATCTGTGAATGCGTAGTTTCAGTCAGTTTAAATGAAATGTTGACATCAAAACCTTTTGGGGCACCTGTTTGAAATTTCTGTGATGTTCACATTAAATTAATTGCTATTGTATCTATACAGAGTCAGACAAATAACATCCCATTTTCTTTACCATATTTCTCATGGGAATAACCTATTCCAAGAATTTACAGAGGTGACTTCCTGTCTAACTTCTGAGACCATATCTTGTAAAACATACTTGAATGAGTTTTGGATTTAGTGACCTGCCTTTGTAAGGAACAGAATAAACGGGTAAACATATATATTGCTGGAGAAAGGTCAAATGTTGAACATGTTTACCTTACCTGAATTTCCCCTTGTCTCCTTTCCTGAAGTAGAGTGCCTAAAATCTTTGTAATGAAGATTTGCTAACTACTCGCGATTTGTGTCTGTATGTTTTTAGATTTGATTATATGTTTAGAAAAAAACATCTGCTTATCAATATCATCAACTGTTTCATGAGATTTACCATTTTTATAAGTTTCCAGATCGTAGGTGCTACAAACTTGCTGGAATAATTTGAGTCGAGTCAGATTGATTCATTATAACTTATTTAAATTAATCCCAGTGTGTAAATCATCCAATGAGTGATTAATAAAAATCCGAATAAATCTGCTGAAGAAGCTGTGGCTTACGAAACGAAACGTTCAGAAAAATTTTGTTTTGATTTTCTTAACACGCTGGGATTAATTTAAATAATTTATAATGGATTTACCATTTTGTTAAAGACTATTATTTACACCTTATGACAGGTAACCGCGCTCCCTTACTGATGCAAGTAAATCAGTCATTCAGAGAATACTGAGTTTACCATCCTGTGTGTTATGTGAATCGGAACAATCTTATGGCTGTCTCTGTTAATCACGAGCAGATACATCTGTTCAAGCGAAATACACGATACAAACATCCTAGGATCTCTCTAAATAAGAGGGCCAATCTCGTTTCACTGTAACAGCTATCAGCAGGCTACTTATATACAGTCATAAGTAACTCGTTAGGACTACTTAGTTCGTTGCAGCTCAACGCGGATTATCAAACACATAAGATTCGTACTACCACCTACAACTCCTTACGTAAATGCTATCAACAGTCACTTAATAAGGTCACTCACGACTACCGTTGTCTTAAAGCGTTAAGCGAACTTTGTTTATATGTAGAGCATACCGTACACGCACACATACTATTATAACCTCAGTCATTAAATAATGATATCAAGTTTTATCCGTCATGAAGTCATAAGAATCACATAATTTTGTGATGTTTCTTCAAATGATGACTGTCCATCTTTAGACCTAAAAATGATCCTCATTAAGCAGGACTCTATTAATCATAAACTTGAATAAAACTGAACAAAAAACATGACAGACTATCAGATGGGTTGATTAGCACTTTAAATTGCAGGCATCTAGTATGGCACAGTTCTAAAATCAACAAATTCACTGCATTTTGCCTTGATACCACAGTGATACGGTTCGATTCCAGGCCGACGTACTCCCAAATAGTCCCTAGTCTGCTAGCCAACAAAAAGCTCGGTGAACGGAACAGGTTAGAGAAGAGGTTATCTACCCCACTATGTAAAAATAACGTGCCTAGTGAGACTTCAGGGTCTCAAGCCTGAGGCCATAAATTCAACTCGTAAGTCATGAAATGAAAAGAAATAAAATATTACTTCAATAAAACTATTACTATGATATTGATTTATTTTTTGCTGAGAGAAAGAAATCGCCTTAGCTAAATAAATTGTTCGATTTTACTTGCCAATAATATCATAATTAGGCCTTTTCTGCCTCAGACATTAAGGTGAATTGTAGGTGTTGTGCTATTATTACTACTCTTATTCCACACTTGTTTTTAGGTTAAACTTTAGCAAAATTTGATGAATGATTCTTATTTTTAATTATACTATTGTGCTAATTAAATGATTGAATACCATTTGTATTAATAATTTTCAGGTGGGAAAACTTTTCCAATTTTCTACTTCTGATGTGTATAACACGTTAAATTCACACCTAATTGTTTAATCAAAACAGCGATTTACTGAATTGAAATTAAGAGTTGGAAAGATATTGTTTTTAAGCTAAGATTTGATCGCTTGGTAGCAAGATTTCAGTCTCTTAAGGCAGATGAATCTTATAATATATAATAAAACAAATCTGAAAATTGCATATCTTATACTTCAATACTCGGTTAGCTTTTATTTAGTGAAATCGTCAGTTGTTGGATGTGATATATATAGCTACAATTCTGACTCTTCATATAACAGAATACAGGATGCTTTCTTAACCAAATCATGGTATGTTCTAAGTAGTGAAAAATCTATATTCTAGTGAATAATCGCTATATCATTGTTTGGCGAAACCAGTTATGTGTATAGTGTCAGTGCATACAACTCGACAACTGTCGCATGAAATTAAAAGTTTGGTGATATTCAATAATTTATGTCATGACAGGAATGGAAGGCGATATGAATTTCTTGAATTAATGTTACGTTTCTGTCAGGAAACCACCCTGAATTTATTTAAACAATTACTTTAGTTATTGCTCAGCTCAGCTTCGCGCTTTGTCTAGAATGACTTTCACTTCATCTCAACGAAATAAGTGACTGGGTTCAGTGAAAAACACAAAATATTGCAAAACATTAGTTCCGAGTTAACACTTAGTAACCTCGTAAATGACTAACGTATCTTCACTTAAAAATCCTTCCAGCTGTTACAATGTTTGCGTTACTACCCACCTTTAGTTTTAAAACAGACATTTGCTATCCTTTCTGATCACATGCAAGCTCTTTGCTGCGTGTGATGCCATGCTAGTATAAGAAAAACAGTAATACACCCTTCTTTTGAAATTAGTGTTAATATTTATTATTACTGCCTTGGGTTGCTAGTAGAACATACTGATTCAGAAGCGAATCATCACACACCGTTGTCTTCAATCCCTCTTAGCTGACCCCCCAAGTGCTCATACGCTTACATTTTCTCTTTGCACAATCATCTCCATGCGACTTTTAGATCCAGGTGCAACTTGTGGCTTCCTATTCGGGTTCTACTAAAAGTCCTGTCTGAGGCGTGATGCCAGCCAACTTTCTTCTCAGAGTTCCTCAAATCCATTTCCACTTTCTTCGACATATTTTCTGGGCTGTTGTTTGGTTTTTTGTTTGAGTTCCATTGTTGCCAATTGTTTTCGGCCATGTAATTTTCATTACCTAAACGGTGAAGGCAACTGCTGCTATAAGCTTGAAGCCTGTTCGAATTACTTTCGGTGAGGTGCAAAATCTCTTAACCATAACATAAAAAAGGAGTGATTTAATATTAACGTTTAAGAACCTATTCTTGTTCCTTCCGCTGAGCACAGCAGACCTAAACATTGATTTCAGATTAATGAAAGTCTGTCTTACTTTTTGGATCTTCTCTGGCATTCACATCCTTATCCATGCCCCTGTAATAGAAACGAAGCTGCCTAGATAAGTAAAAGTGGTGATCTTCTTCAAATTTCTCGCCTTGAATGGTGCTTTCTTCTGTTAGTTATCTATCTGCTTCACTTCTTTCTTCTCTGTTTTCCCCTCAAGTTCTGTCTTCGCTGCCTATCTCTTCTACCAGCTTGTTAATTTTCCCCTCTAGATCTTAGAGGTTTTGTAACACTAGAAATAAATACTCCGTGAAGTCTACATCTTCTAAAGTTCTCCTATCGCCTCATCTGTTCTTGACCTCTCACGGTCTGCCGCGTGATCCAGTCTACCATAATCATGAATATCATCGGTGATAATAAATAACCTTGCCTTGATTACTCCTTCACTCCAAAGGCTTCGTTGAGTTCTTCCGTTGTGGATCACTTGAAATGTGGCATTATCGTACAGCTGTTGAATTAGGTTTGTGGCAAAGCCCTTTTTAGTATTGAAGCCGTCTCTAAAGTACTTCACTGTCAACGCTATCACACGTCTTTTCAAAGTTGGGGTACAGATTCAACTGTCATTCCGTGCTCCGTTTGATGATAATGCATAATATTGCAATTTGGTTGACACATGATTTGCTTTACCTGAATCCAGCTTGTTTCGGGTGGAGTTCATCATCCGAAACAGTTTTTAGTCTCTCCAAGGTGATACGATTGATGTTTTGCTTGGTGTGGACAGCGACATGTTTGAAGTGATTGGTACAGCATTTTTTTGTTCTCCTTCACATCATTTCATCCATTTCATTTGTGTTGATTTGTTCCCAGATGGTAACCTGCTTTTCTGATACAGTACTCTGGAATATCATTTACATGCTACCTGTTCTCACTTCTTCGCAAGTGTACAGTGAATATCTTTTATGCTTTCTAGAACTTTTCTTCAGTTCTTTATTCAATGAACTGTAGACTGAACACTTCTCCTTTCGCTGTTCATTATTGCCGTGGTTTATCTTCATCATCAGCAACCTTGACTCAGCTTGTAGGTGTCTCTAGAAAGTCATTCCTTCTCTTGCCTCTTCTTCCCTCAGATGGTTACATAGATTTATTTCTGTCATCTTCAGAGACCTGCATTGTTTTCCCACGAAAGTTCCGTAAGTGATGTCACAGCCTGTCTTCAACTTTTTTATCGATTAGTGCATCTATTTGTAGTATCATCCTTCATTTTCTGGACGGTGAACTCAAACTTTAGTTTGTCTCCAGTTTCTCTGAAGGCTTCAGTTTAATCTTGAAAATTCTTTCACTAGATGGTGGTTTGAGCCCATATTTGCTCCTCTCATCCATCTTGTATGAAGAAGTTTGCATCTTTACTTTCTTGAGGTTGAGACGAAGTCTACCTGATTTTAGATGTGTCCATCTGCTGAAACCCCCGTCGCCTTGTTTTTACCTTTGAACATCAAATCACTGAAAGCAAAGGATTTACTACCCAAAAAATAAACAGGAGGAAATGGAGATTGGTCGGAAATATGTTGAAGAAACGATTAAGTAACTTCACATGCTGCGCAGACCCTCGAGGGATATCCAAACTGGAAGCGACATGTCAGGTGTAGTCTGACAGTGACTTGGGGAGATCAAGTGAAGAAGAAATGAGAGCTTCTGGGCAGTGCTACAGCTAGCCGAAAGGGATATCAAACAGCTGAACACGATAAAGTTGAGCTGCTTCACATCCGTTTACCACTCCGAACGCAATGGATGAATAATATTAGTAAATTACTCAAGAATAATAATCATGTTCAACACTAAAGATTATTCCTTAAAGGCAGTCCTTCACTATATTCACTTCGAGTTATTGGAGAACTCTTACAAAAATTAGGCCAAAGTCCGTCAAATGAACTGCATTTAGTTCACTGTTCCACAGCTGGTACCTTCATGTTTCAACAGAAACCGAAATATAATTTACTTCGAAACCTTTCTTTGAAGGCAGATTACAGACTTAGCTTATTGTTCCGCTCTTTTTTATTAGTACCAGCACAGAATTAAGTTTTTCGCCGAAGTATAATTAGTATTACCAGTGCCGAGAAGTTAGCTAAGCCACTGAATACGTTGGTAGTCATACGTCTTCAATTTCTGCACAACTTTGCGTGAACTAGAATGTAACAGCACAATCAATCGGTTATAGTATTTTGGACTTGTAAAGATATATTTTAGCCTAAAAACCTCACACAAAGTTGTGCTTTTTTAATGTTTTATGATCTAGGATAAATAAATTTCTTCTGTTAAACGATGAACAGATACCGAAATAACCGCACGCATTATCTAATAAAAGTGAATAATTCAAGATTGTGTGTGTGTGCGGTTAAGACGAAGAATCAGAACAAACAAATAGCTTGTAACACAATTACCTGTCTGACCTTGCAAATTCATTAAAACAAAGTTACATGAATGCGTACATCTGTTCAATACTGGTTGGGCAAAGATTTAAATTGCTAACAAAAACTACTGTGCAAGTTTGATAGAACTGGCCAATTTTAAATTTTAAAACATAATTACGGAAGATAACAGTTAAGGCTAAAGATAAAATCCAGAAATTTTTCAAATTGTACAACACATCTAGCGATTATCTTCACCAGATATAAACTTTTCCTTGAATAGCACAACACTGTCAGATACCAGGCTCACCTTCTTGTGGATTTCATAGTCTACTTCCCATTGAACATGTATCCAACCAGTAATTGGATCCAAAGCAAATAATCGCATAAATTCTGGTTTAGTTAGTGAACTTATTCGATATTTAATTTGAGCATTACTTCCTTCGTCAATATCAGTCGCTTTAACCTAAATTGAGATGAATAATGAATATTGTTAGAAAACTATATACTGACTTATATTTAACACTATAGAAAACTAGAAATTTAAAAGAAATTCATCACTTTGAGTATTAAATCAGCTTAAACAATTATTATGATCATAGTTTATACTCTGGTTCACTAGAAGAGTGATTAAAATGGGAAGTAACAATAGGACTTAAATGAAGATGGCTTAAAATCGAATTAGCAAGGGCCAGGAAATCACAATGCTGGAATAAAATAAAAGTCAATTATCTGATGTCATTAGATCACTTTAAAAACATGGCGTATTTAAAACACATAAAGAAGAAGTAAATGTCATCAGTGGCTCATGCATCGTGATCCAGGTATGTGGAGACCACTGTCGTCAATCAAGACAGTGCTCGCTGGGTAGATTAAAACTATCTAAAAACTGGATGATATTTCACTCTTTCGGGTGAAGCTCATCAGTGATCTTCAAAGCATCTGCCACAATCAAAAATTCAGAATATGTTTATTTTTGCTTCCATTATGGACGACTAGACTGTGACTAGCAATAAAATCCAGGATGAGAATTTTGTTCTATTTGGTACTCGTCATCCAGATGTACCTGAATTCCTCAGTGAGTGATGGTATTCCCACCGAGGCTCGAACCCAGCGTCCGCAGTTTCAAGCGCCGAAGCCTCATCCACTAGACCACTTGGGCCACGACAGCCTCCTCTTGTGCAATGGGTCAGATTAATTATTTAATTCCGTTCAGATTTTCCCATTGGTTGCAAGTACATTTGATTGAAAATTCCCAAACAGGACGAAATGCGTGTTATCCTGGATTCACTGCCAGTCATCATCCACCAACTGAATTCAAGTTACATGATCAAACATCGTCAAAGTATATACACAAGAAGCCAACATGTCAACCTGAGTCCGAGCACTTCGGCCCAATCAACTAACAGGAAAATCCTAACTGAACTGAATTATATACTTAATGTTTCCCAAAGTTTTACAGAAATGGTAGTATGAACCCAAATATAAATCACTCCAAAAGAATAAGATCCCCTAGATTACATTAAGAAATAACACTTCACTTCTGATTCTTAGATGTGGTTTAAACCTGCACTCTGACTAATTTATTTGCCCTCCTTTTTTTCTAGATAAAACGGTATGACGCATTCATTCCCCAAAATTTCGACAATAATCAACGTCTTTAAACAGCAGATATTGTGCATGTGACATAGAAAAACTAAAAAAACCATGCGATTACTACCATGGGAACAATTTTTTTGTTACAGACTATTTTAGTATACTTAGACTTATGGATATCATGACTTCTGAGTGCTACACAGCGAAACTCTAGGTGTTAGTTACATTTTTCTGAAATACAGGCTTCAGGGTTTTCGGCGCTTTAATGAATCCATTTTGATTGTATAATTATTGAGAGAAATTTTAGACCTGCGATTTTGCAAAGTACATTTTTTAATAATTTATCTTAAATTTTATTGATAGTCACCATCTAAATACATTTTACTATTTGGTTTTTTATTATTTCGTTATCATTTGTTTATTATTTATCTGGTCCATTTTTCAGGCATAAAAATCACCACCATTTTTTTGTTTTATTTAATCAATCTCATTTAACGTTTTTAATGGCGCCAAATATGATTTAAGTTGATATACTTTTATTTTTTTTGAAATAAATGATTAATGCTGTCCACCTTTATATTACATTTGGGCGAAATAAATTTAAAAGATGTGAATATAAAAAGGATAATTATGACTGAACTGAATATATATATATATACATTAATTAGCACACTGAAGCATTAAAGTTATTTAAGCCCCCTGTTTTAAATCAGGCGTCTAGCAAATTTTTTGATATGTATCAATAGGAAGTACAATTGTTCATGTGAAAATTAGATATACATTTCAGCTGAATAAGATAAGCATTCCACAGTTATTTCCGATTTTCATTCTTTTTGGTTTTAACCCCTAAAAAACATATTTTACGTTTATATCTTACAGAATTAATATTATGAGGTATTGTTATGACAATTTTATTTTGTTATTGATGTTTATTTCTCTGCAGATTATATTCTTAAATGTGATATAAGTTAAATGATCAGAATGCATGTTTGCGTTTTCCCTTAATTAGATATTGAAAAACGTGGATTAATGCCTAGCATTAAACCAGATGGAGAGATGTTTCAAAGCTATTTACCTACCAGTATCTACCTAAACGATTGGATTTTAAAACTAATCCAAATTTGAACAAAGCAAGAACAACAAATGTACCAGGATAATACGAGCTCATCTTTTATTATTTCGAGGATTCTTTTCAACCATTTACAACCTGAACGTTAAAAAATATGAATTACATTAAAGATATGAACATACTTTTCCACGATCGTAAGGAGTAATTGGTAGGAATTAAAAGTAACATTAGTCCGGAATGATTTAACTGATTAGGAGTTACAAACACTGACTATTTATAGAATAATTAGACAATTAGGCTTGGAAACAAAAAATAGGGTTGTGTTTATATGTGTGTGTGTAGAAACAAGGTTTAGCTAGAAAGAGCATAACAAAAAGTAGATTACGTAACTAAAAAAGCATCTTATCTAATAGCCAATAGAAAAAAGGAAAGAAAAGAAATAAGGTAGCGTGATTCATGTTTAGATGAGAGAGTAGAGTTTTCTAAACATGAAAAAGATGACTCATGAAAGTTGTATATTTTTTTTGTTATCACCAGGGCAGTGCAAGATTCACCACTGTCTCTTTCTGAGTACATAGATTTGATTTAAGTCGTTTGATGGCAATTGCTTCAGCAAAGCGTAGCCAGCTAGGTTTCTTTTGCTTGTTGATTATTTTGAACAACTTCAGGTTGTCTACAATTTGACCAATATCCAATAGATGACGAGCAATCGCACTGTTTAATGCTTGCGGACCTTTCAGTCTCAAGTTCTTTGGTATGTGTTCATAGATGCGGACACTAACCCTTCTCTCTGTTCTTCCAATGTATGCGCTTTGGCACGTACATGTAATCCAAATTTGTGCACTTGGCTCTACTGAAACTATTCAATGACAAACCATCGTCATCATATAAAATTTTAAGGTGAACATATAACCACTAGTAAAATTTGACTACTGATATAAGTTTAAAATTTGACTAAATAATACTAGAAACTGCATACTTTTACAGTTCTGTCAAAAACACTTCGTAGTGAGATAAAAGGTGTGATTAAAGTAACATATATTGAGACATATTACTTATGTGTGGTGAAACATATGGGTCATCATGACAACGGACCTCAACTATTCGCCGTTAAGACTGGACAAGTGTTATTTGGATTCTTTTGAGGGACAGATGGACCCAAACTGCAACAAATTTGTATAAAAACAGTGAACACATTTTAGCTATGTATCCTTCTTGACTAGATCACGTTTAGCAATCAGTTCACCTCCAAAAAAGGTGTCTTCAATAATGACCTGAATCATTTTTGATAAAGTTTTAAAATTCTTTATAGGGTGTCTTTTTCAGAAATAAAATTGAGATAAAACATCACATAAATATATAACCTTGTAGATTCCAACAAATCTAATGATTACCTGTACGACGGGTGTATGTGGTCTGGCATTTTCCCGTAAATCCACAATGTAAGTATCTTTTTCAAAGATTGGAGAATTATCATTGAAATCTGTTACATGCACTTGTAATAAAATTGTTGCATTTCTACTAGGCGATCCTCCATCAACAGCAGTTAAATTAAATTCATATAATGATTCAGTTTCTCTATCTAGCGGGCTTCGAACAATTAATCGGAGTTCATGCCTTGGCCCTGGTGGAGATCTGTTCAAAGTTTCAGAAAATGAAGATATTACATTGGATTGTAAATCATCAGACACTTGAAGATTTGTAATCGATGTATCTCTATCTAATGATGTCCATTCTAACTCAAATTCAGGAACTTGAGGTTCAATCAAATATTTGATTATGTTATTTGATCCAGCATCTTGATCCACTGCAGGCGTCAGTTGTATTGTATCTCCAATAAGGCTGCTTTCAGATACGTAAACATGCATCACATCCTAGTGAGAAAGGCAAAAAGGACACTGATATACAAATATATACATACACATAGGTTCATTGATTGTAGAGACAAATAATTCAATTAAATCTTTCACTGACCACAATGCAAGTATACTGTTTAAATACCACAGTGGATAACATTCAGTGTGAACTGAAGCTGAGATCCTAACTGGCTGAATTATTGCCGTCTTCCAGCTTACATTTTAACTTTGATAATCACTCATTAGGCTATCATTGTACTTCAAGTTTCATCTGGCTTACAAGTCTCCTGTTAAAAACAACATCCGTTTTATATTCTGTTTCTAGCCAATATTAAATCCACCATGTGATGAAAGAAGAACACTCTTAGACAAATCTTAGAGTTCATTTCGTGGAAGAGATATAAAATACCTACCTCACCATAAAAGGCATTTGGTTTTACTTCTACTTCAATTCTTTTGCGTTACGAATGGAACATAGGACTTCAGACTTTGAAATTCAAGTAGCAGTGGTCATGTTTTCAACGGTATGGGGCAGCTCAAGCTTTACTCTTCGGCGGTCTTACTACTGGCGATTAAACTAGGCAGGGTGTCTATGAGTCATTCGTCCGGGAATCGAACTCAGACCTCTAGTATTCTACCACTGAACTACCTATAGTGTCAAAAAAGACATGCATTCAGAATTCAAGTTAGTCTAAATAAATCACAGATGATGGATGATAATTAATGCTTTCAAGCCCCACATCAAATTTTAACTAAGTCACCCAGGGATAAACTCATGCATATTCATGTGTTAAAAAACATACCAGACTTGCTATGCGCACGCAACCTACTATTTATACACAGACTTCGCCGTCAGCTGAATTTTATACAACTATATGTAGAAATTTTCCTCTCAGCTGATATCTAAGTATTTATTCACAATATATTCTTAACAAACATAGAAATCTTAAATTACAAACATTTTATCAGTGAAGATTAACAAAGTCAACACAACAACTGCATACTATTGATTGATGTGAGTCGTCAGGATCTACTCGTGACAGACTTTGCTGCATGGTAGGTAAACTGAAATGATCTGAATAACGGATGGCAGTTTCATTCGATGTGAAATGCGCTCATAAGCACTGTATCAGGTCCGAAAGATGAATCAGTTCAAATCACTCAACTTTTGGGTTAACTAGTTGGGCGAAACTAGTAATGCATAGAATCGAATTTGTTATTTACAAGTTATACAGTCTTAGTGGGGGATCTTTCTCAGATTTCTCTAGGAACCAAACGTATGCTGAACACAGTCTGTGATTTCGAAGGAGTTTATGGCGAACTATCGCCTCAGATTGTGTCATTCGCAAAATGATAAATACAATTCCAAGTCAATCACCATCAACGGAAGGGATTTGAAAGAGGTTACTCCATTCACTTATCTAGGGAGCATTGTCTCAACTACAGGAAGTCGGAACGGACGAGGATGTCAAATCGAGCGAGAATCGAGTAGGCGAGAAATACATTCATCAACCTGAAACAATCAATCTGGAAATCTTCGTCACTCAGCCAGCATCAGCAGCGAAATTCAGTCGGATTGACAATACAAACGTCAAGTCAGTTCTTCTACACGCATCAGAAACTTGGCGGGTGGGTCACAAAGAATATTTCCAACAGGCTATTGCAGACTTTTATCAACAACTGTCAACTATAGCTCTATACTGAAGATCAGATGGCCGGGCCGGAAAGAATCACCAACAATAAACTATAGGAACAAACAAAACAAGAACCAATTGCCAACCAACAAATATGCAGGAGAAAGTGGAGATGGATTGGTCACTCGCTCGCTGAGAAGGCCGCTGGGTGACATCGCGCGTAAGGCCATTGCCCGAGAGGAACCCGAAAGGGAAGCGGTGAGTGGGTCGTCAGTGCAAGGGTGACATGGAGGAGATCGTGTGAAGAGGAGTTGAAAAAGTATGGACTAACATGGATGCAGGTGAAAAGTACAGTAGGAGACAGAAGCAAATGGAGACGTGCAGTTGAAGCGCTATGTTCCACTAGGAACTCAAGGGAACAATAAAGAAAATAATAAGTTAAGTACTTTTTGTAACAAATATAATGAATGAATATAGACATTTACATTGGTAATACATACCTGTTTCTGTGAATCGTCTGCAAGATTTAAAAATCCTGATTTACTTCCTAATAACCATGTTGGTGCATTATCATTTATATCAATAATTTGTACATTAACTGTAATAATATTTGTATATTGATCATCTGAGCGTATATTTAAATCCAACTGACAAGTGGATACTTTTTCATTATCTACAGAATTATGAGCTAAATTCATTTGTGATGGTTTATGCATATAATCTGTACGATAATCTGAATAACTAGAATATGCACAACAAGATTTAAATGTTGGACATAACTGATCCCTGTCTATTCGTCTAGCCACTCTCAACACACCAGTTTGTGCGTCTAAATGAAAGTATTTCGATTGTGGTTCACTATTAAATATTTGATAGTAATAATTGTTCGACTTTTTCAATTTATCGTTATCATCACCACTGTGAGTATTACTGTTATCAGTTGGTTGATTTAGATTGTTATTGTTATTATTATTGCTACCTGAAGTAGTAGGCATTGAATGATTGATTAAGAATTGTAAATTAGCTACTTCTCTACCGATCGACTCCTCCTCAAGCAGGCGTACATTCAACTTTTTTAAATCACCCATAAACATTGACTGTGACATTGTTCTATATTGTTGAATAAATCTTTTATTCCGTTTGTATTTCAACAAATCTGATTTAGTACTAGTAATAGCATTAGTATTAGTAGCAGTAATAATAATAGTAAGAGAATTTAATATATACATAAAATAAAGGAAATGAAAAAGAAGAATCTTCATTTGTTTCTGTATATAATGGGATTTGAATTCATTGTACAACTGGTTCAATGTTTCTTTAGATTTACTACAGGTATATTCTTCTTATTAGAACCTGTAAAATCGAAAGAAAAAGCATATGCTATTATACATTGAGATTTATTTGGTTTATTAAACATGGAAAGTTATTTCATCAGATTCCAGAATTTGTGCTGAATTGGACTGATTTAAATTCTCAGATCTCGTCGCGAGTCAACATCAGTTAGGGAGATCACTGAAACACAAGGAGAACTGGAAAACCATTTCCACCTCTTCTAGGACTCATCAACAATGGTCACCTACGGCTTCACTTGATATCGAACCTGGGGTATTCACGTTGAGAGATCAAGTCCATTTATCAATTCTTAAGACTTCTAGAATAGAACTTTTGGTTTTCGATGATCCTTCTAAATGACGTTGGTTCATGACCAAATCTAACGCGTGAAGTTATTTATTCGCTTAAACTTGAATTAATGCCTATTACATCCCTGACAAATTTCACCACGGAAATTATAACTACTAGAGATATTTTCATAAATGCATTTATGTAAAAACCGAAGATTCGTTAGTGCCGGTAACAATTCTCTCAAGGCGTTAGTGATATTAATACCTTTATTCTGAAAAGTGAGTTCATTTGCAACTCTGGATTCTCACAACGTTTTAGTGTAGAATGCTAAAATAATATAATTATCGATAATATATCATTTGAAGCAGTGTTGTTATATCCAAATACTCTCAAATATCCGGTAATATTTTTCCATCCATTCCTTTGAGCATTCATAGTAGTAGATTGAAATCTTCTTGTTAGACAAGAATACTCTTTGATAACGGATGAGGAAGAAAAGGAAGAAGAAATATCAAACATTACTGAGTCTGTCAAGCAAAACAACTACCCAAGGAACTTCATCAACAAAATCAACACTGACATTAAGTATGGTCGAAAACGTATTTCGAAAACATGGACATCAACAGCTGCCAAACCATATAGAGCGGGGATATCAGACAATATCAGAAGAGTAGTCAATAAGCTCAACATCAGAGTTTTCTTCAAAACATCAGGCACACTGTGAAACAACCTCGTCGATATAGACGACCAAATTCCTAAAGATTCTCTAATTGTATCTATAAGATAAAATGCGTGGAATGTGATGCGATATACATCGGACAAACATCTCGAGAAATCAAAATCAGAAGAATTGAACACCATGGAACATCTGTTCGGCCACCGAGAAATCCAGGTGAACTAGAAAAGCTTGAAAAATCATCAGCCACAGGTCTACATGCTGTAGAATCGGGCCACGAAATTGATTTTGACAATATTAAAATAATACAGAAAAATTTCAGAAATCATAAAGAACGTCTCACATCATCAGAAGCACTTCATATCAAGTGGAATCCAAATTGTGTGAATAGGAATGATGGACTAAAACAGAATTTGACCTGGTTACAACACCTCCCCCTCTCTCATGAAGTGACCAAGTCAACATGGATGTAATGAGCAATTTCATTATGTAAACACACGCTGTTTTTATAATTTTACACACCTGTCAAATCCAACAGTCTACACCTGGTTTTGTTATCTTTAGCGATTAGCTGTTTTCACAACGTAAAATGACCCCATACTGAGGAAGAATGATTAAGTTGTTATATATGAGCTAACTGGATTTTGTAAATTCTGGTTTAATAATACTTTGATGAAGTTATTAGGATTAAATAGCGAAATGTCAGCAAAATCAATAATATCGTTTTGTTTTTAATTCATTTGCAAATACAAAGAACCTTAATTGTTATACATTGAAATCTATTTAAAAACAAGAGAGAGAGAGTACTGTTGGCAATTCAAGGACTCTATTTTATGAAGATAAAAAACAGTATGAGATAGGGTATTTTTGATGCATTTCAGTGAATGGAAGATGAAGTAGCCAATAATTTAAGCAGACTACCGTATTTATTAGCAGTGAACTTTTTCCGTTCTATTGATAACTGCCATGTATGTTTAGTAATCACAATATTTAAGCGACAAGATCCATAATATGTCTAATGTATTTGGGACACACTGATAGAATTTTCACTACAAACTGTTAATGTTCCGAGTGGCTGAAAGATATGCGAGCTTATCTTGTAACCAGAAGGTCCTGGGCTCGAACCCCTTTGGGGGTGCCTACTGCCAATGATTCCCAATTTAGGATGCAACAGCTGCCTACTACTCCAGTGCTGGTTTTCAATGCTTCTCTAACTGATATCAGTCCGCAGCCGAACTCTTAAAAACAAATATAATCCTTACAAACCAACACTTGAAAATCAATAATTACCGTAAAATATCTATTGTTGAGTACACTTAAACCCTCAGGAACATGGAGATATATTTTTCTTGCGAAAATACTTGTAATTCATTGTTTACCTTACTGGTCAATATTTAAGCGTAAAGGACACAAATCAAGAAGAACTCACACAAAGAAACAAGATTAAGAAATGCTGAATATACCACATGTTTAAGTTAAAATATTTGTGCCTTACAGCCTACAAAAGAAGTAAATCGGCAAATATTACTTTGTTCTACATCAAATTTGCCTACCGTGGATCTTATTTTTAACAATTAAACTTTTATAGATAACAAAATCAGCATGATCTTGACGAAATACAGATAAATAAAGAAAACAACTTGAATTTTATAACAGTTTGCCTTCAAAATTTAACCTGTCTTGGAAAGTTCAATTTCAAAATGCCGCTTTATACATAAAGCGAATAAAAGTTTTTAAAAATCTACAACATTAGCAGATTTCCTACGAGTGTCCCGATTCCGTTTATTGAGGTAAACACAAGATATATATACGTCTAAACAAAACCTGGTTTAACTTCTTGAAAAAAATATGCTTCATAAGGTTATATAATAAATATGTATTTAGCAATAGGTTGTGTGTTTACGACAGTCATTTTCTAAATTAGTGAGCACTTTTCCAGAGATTCTGATGAAAATATGACATTATAAAAGCTGTCATCAACCAAATCCCTACAAACCAATACTTGGATATCCATGAGGTGTTCACTGGCGACTGGCCATATTCAGGTAGGTAGTTACCTGGAGTTCTAGTGGGAAGTCGTGACCAGCGGATTACAGCAGGTCGGGAGTGAGGACAAATACTCACCAAAGACATTGGCTAGCGGTTGCGCTATATCGTGAATTGGCAGAATTTAGAATTCATGAACATTTGAATCGGGTCCCAATGGCTTAATGGTCTAAGAGCTCGTCTTGTACCCAGAAGGTCCTGGGTTCGAATCCCGGTGAGCGCGTATTGCTGGAGAGTCTCAAACCAGGGCAAAACAGCTGTCCAGTACTCCCAGGTTCTCCAATCGTTCTCTAACCAATGTCAGCTCATGGTGAAATCCTGTAACCAATCAATCAATTCCCTAAAAACCAATATTTGAATAACTGTCTATTGATGATTAGCGATGGATTCATGAAATTGCATGCTGCTCTGTTCTTTAAGTCCCAACACCGGAAATATTCATCACAGTGAATAGTTCTTTTGAACTCCCCACGCCTTATTTCAAACACTGAGGTTTAATTGACAAGGCTAAATAGTCGCGAGTATCAGTTTCCAATCTTACTGTAATTGTACATCTTTACGAGTGGATTCCACTGATCTATGTTAACATGTAGAATCTTTGATATTCTGACAGATTTGGTATAAAGCAAAATGAGATCTTATGTAATATTCCAGTTTGAAAATAATTTGTTACACTACGAAACATCAGACTTAATTCGTTTGGTAAACCATTTCGAATAGTCTAATTATGCATCTTGACACATTAACTGATAAGGAGAAAATTCATAAAGAACTAGGAGGTGAGACGATGAATATAGTTCAGTAATTCCCATTGTAAAATTTAGGACGTATTATTTGTTATTATTTGAAGAGACTTTTTCAATGGATTTAATATCATGTTGAACAGTTATATAGCCACGGAATGTTATCCACACAGATACCATAACATTTTCCAACATGGTTTTACAGGGTAGAATGGAAAGGTGTGATACACTCTGTTTTTAAAGGATGGATCGACTTCTATCACGCAACGAACTCCCCCCATGAATGTAACATAATCTCTCGAACTCACACTAATTTGTAGAGTTTTCCTTCTTTCCACTTTCTAAAGACAATGAAGTCCTTGGTTATACACGAATTCAAGACAGACTATAGTGTACAAAAGAAGTATGTGAAGTCGATATTTCTACCTTTGCCTTAGAGCGGAAACAAAGGATTGGGCATTTCGTTATTTTTCGTTTTGTTTATTCAACCTTTGTAACTTCCCCCATATTACTATGGTTGTTTTTATTTTGAATTTCAGCAGTTCATGGTATCATTTCAACTGTCCCATTTATTATTTTATTTTAATATATTTTCGCATTGCGAAAATATATCTTATCAAACTTATGGCCTCATTAGGTAATGTTTTCATTTTCTCACTAATCGTATTAGTTTTACGTGTCCCCCCTCCCTCCAAAATCTAAACATCCTATGAACTATTCTACAAACTGAATAATTTATCGCATGACTCTGGACTATGATTGTAATAACAAACAATTCATCGTATTTCGCACTATTAATATAATTACCCACAGCTTCTGTTAAACTTTCTTCACGAGATTTAATTATTTATAATTTTTATTGTGCACTGAAGTTTCTGATGCAGTTTGAATGACTGTTTTGGTGTAGGTTCGCTAGCTCCACGTCCACCCCTCCATCTTTACCCAGGTTTGGGACTGGCTGTAAAACTAGCGAACTAGTAAGCTAGGCGAGCTTTACCAGGGACCTCTAGATATAGTATACATATGTATGTGTATATGCACGATTGTACAGATTGATGATAAAATCATTGAAACTGTTTCTTCTCTCAATAATTTCTTCGCAATGAATTTAGGTCAAATTAAAAGACTAAGTTGAAGGTCAAAATATCAATGATGATCAACAAAACAAGAAAGA